ACACCCCTAATATTAAATTCCTGAGCTGAAGGCTTCTAAATAGCTTTGAGAATCCCTGAACATCCAGGTAACGATGCAAGACGGGATAACTGAGAACCCCTGGCTGCCACTGCAGCCAGGGCCCCTCACAGCGACAGGAGTCACCCGATTTTCCTTTCAATTTCCAAACAGCAGGAACAGATTCCTGCCCTTTAGTACTGCAGAGCTGGCCACAGGGGTTTCTAATTGGCTTATGGGTTTGATGCTTAAAGCCACCTCGGGCGCTGGCAGGGTCTGCGCTGACCGCAGTGGTGCAGCACTTTAACTGTGACCCAGCATCACTCCTCTCCCCCAATTACAAGAGCACTGGGTTTAGTTTTTGCTGTAAACACACCTCGTACGTAACTGTTCGTCTGCAGGTTCTTCAAACACCGGGTCACACACTGTGAGTGATGGTTGTTTTAGTCTTTTATTCAACTGTCATTGGTACTGGTTATTTGGTGCGTCCAAACCAACATATGAAACCTGCAAGCTAAGAGAGCAGCAACACAGCACAGCCGTTGTAAACAATTTATTATCGTTTTCTACCTCAGGTACTTACAGGAGAAAAGGCATAAAAAAAAACCAACCAAAAAAAAAAGAAAAAAAACAAAAAAAAAGAAAAGCACAGATGGACTATTTACAAAAAATGAGAAAATTCACAACAGCAGAAATGTTTGCAAATCATGCACACCAGGACAAGTTCACAAAAGCAAAGCAATTCATAGCAAAAAAAAACCCAAACAAAATAATAAGAAGCCATACAGATTAAAGAAAAAAATGCTATTGCCTGCAGGAAAGTCAAAAGAAAACTACCCAATTATTACATCAAGCATCTTTAATGAAATGAACAGCACAGCCGTGTATTGTAGAGCCTTTGACACTGACATTTTGAACAAGTGGATTAACAAACATTAAAATGCATTACAGTTCTACTGTAAGCATGCAATTTACTTCTCACAAACTTATGAGATGGGTAGAAACACTTCAAGAAAACCAGCATTTAAATAAGATGTGTGTTTGCTACCCAAACATCAGAACCTGGTCTTGTTAATGAAGCCAATGGATGGAGCCATGGCCACATGGGCTTGCGGCTCCTCTGAGATTTGGGTGGAGATGAAGAGGTGCGATACAGCTGAAGCTGGCAGGGGAGAGCTCATCCCATGGTTTGCAAGCAAAGGCTGGAATCAGAATCAATCACACAGAGAATGGGAGAGCATCACTGGTGACAAGGCATTGGACAGGGCAGCAGCTCCCCAGGCCCCGGTTCTGATGGCTTTTAGCAACCTCCTCTATTGGAAGGTGTCCCTGCCCGTGGCAGGGGTTGGAACTGGATGAGCTTTAAGGTCCTTTCCAACACAAACCATTCCATGATTCTATGATGATTATGAGAGCTCTAGAAAGAGCCAGCAACCAAAGGGAATGGAAGAGGAGAAACCACATGTGGGTCTGCTGCACCCACAGCCACCAGTCACAGGGTCACACCTGCAGGCGCAGGACACTCATTTTGAGCAATTAAACCCTGTGTTGCTCACGATCCTAGTGACAGGACACACTGGTGATGATTTGTGCTACTGCTCAATGTCTCTGTGTTAACAGGAGCCAGTGTCCCTCTTTGGGGCTGTTTGTGAGACCCCCATCATCCTGTTTTGCTTCCATGATAAAATCACTTCTAAGAAGTTTGTGAGAAGTCATGCCTTCATAACGCCCCTGATCCCCATCCTTGTGAGTTACATTCCAAGTGGGCATTATAAACTCATCACAAAGCAGAGGAAAAAAACCCCAATAAACCCCAAAAGGAAATAAAAAGCAAACTCAAAGCAGTGAGGATATGGAGCCTTTAAAAAAGAGAATTTAAGAGTCCAGTCATTCAAACCAGCCAGTAAGAGCAGCAATTTTTCAGTGGACATTGATATTAAACATGGACCACCCAGGCTTTGTCTCGCTCTCATTAGCACTGTAGTAAACCCCGATTAATTTGTTATGCATCTTTAAGAACTAGTTGATAAAAATTATGTCTTGTGAAATCGGCAAATAGTCTGCAAAGTGAAATAAGAACAGAAATTAATAGATTAAACTGAAAAGATAAGTCCCAGAAATTAAAAAAAAAAAAAAAAGACACAGAAAGGGAGTGATTGCAATAAAAAAAACAAAGAAAGAAAAGAAAAGGCTTTGGACCGAGTTATAGAGGAAAAATAGCATGATGGGAGGAGACACAGCAGTCACCAAAGCGATCGTGTGCGTCTCACCCGTGCAGACAGGGAGCAGAGGAGGATGCGGGACTGGACCCATCCAGGGGACCTGCCAGCAGCTCCAGCATGGAAATTGAAATGCAAATAGATGGATCATGACATCTGTAGCCTCGCTGCACTGGGACAGTGGTGAGCACCAGCAGGACAGCTCAATTCAGATGGGCATTCCAGTTGGGACTTTTATCAATGAAGTAAACGGGCAGCACAAAGCGAGGAGGACCTGGAGTAACACCCAGCGGCAGGCGAGGAGCCTGCGGGCTGGTGACTGCCCCCAGCACAGCCCTGTGATGACACCCCCCAGGGACAATGAACCCCCGCCAGGCCAGCCCCGGTGCCAGCCCAGGCTGGTGTACTACAGGGCTCACAACACAACTGCACTGCAGCAGAAAGCACGGCCAGGTCTCCGTAAGGAGCCTCAGAACACAGCTCTGTACCTAGATGGTATTACTTTTATATCTACACTTATCATACACATCAGTGCAGTCGCAACCCCACTGCTGGTCAGGCACCGTGGAGCTGGGAGGCAGGCAGGGCTGCCTGGGCTGCTCCTGCAGGAAGAGCCAAGGATTTCTCTTCTCCTATCAGACACGGGGCATCTCGGTGGACGGCTCATTGAAACCACAGATTTCTCTCAGGTTCACACATGCTCCTATCTCACACCCTGAGCCACAGTCGTGCTGTGGGTGCCACGGGCAGTTCTGCAAGTGCCAGAACACTGTAAGGGAAGGGTTGGGGCGTTCAGGCTGTTCTGAGGTGGATGACTACGTGCTGGAAGCACGCTCAAGCTATTCATCCCATAGCACTAAGTGCCTTTCCCCATGGCTGGTCAGTCAGGATGCCAACTCCATTCCTTCCCATGGGTGTCTGGGGGACGAGTAGGTGCTGGATGCCACAGGACATGGCTCCCTCCAGCAGAGAAGGGTGAAAGGGGAGTGGCAGAGCCCCACAGACAGCTAGGACACAGCACGACACAACCATGCGAGTGGCACTTCCACTGCCATTCCCACTGCAGGCGTGAGCAGCAAGTGCTGGCACATCCCCATCCTCAGCTCCTGACTTGCTCCCTGGGCACCCTGAGCTATGCTCCCATGGCACAGGGCTCTCTGCTGCCAGCATTCCTCCCTCCCAACACCTGGCTCCAGTGAGCTCACCCCATCCTGCTGATGGGCATCAAACCCTTCACACTATGCCTCTAGCCAGGCTCCTGTGCACTGCACTGCTCTGACAGCGGCTCTAGAGACCAGAGTTCCACACCACCTGGGACAAACCACCTAACCATCCTATGACTGGTTCTGACTGCTGTTAAGGAACAAAGAATCTGAGTGGGAGTGGAGCAAATCAACATGGGCAGAGCAACAGGGCAGGGAAATCCAAGCAAGGCAACAGAGGACTCTGAGCATCTCCCCTTGGCTGCCCTGCTCCTGAAGGCACAACTGGTGCCTGCAGGTGGGTGCACCTCCTTTTCAGTGCTGACAATCCACTTGGGTTTTCTCCTGCCTATCCAATCTCTGCAAGAGACTAAAAACAACCAGCAAATAACTGGAAAGCCTGATTTGAAAAACAAGGCCCTTATCAACACGAGGGCTAGAGTCAAACGGTGCCTCTGCTGTCAGCCAGCAGACACGCTCGTTTTAGACATGTTTATAATTAAAGTCGTCTAAAAGCTGCCGATTTTCATCATTTAACTTATCAAAGGTGCCTCTAATTCAGCTGTCTTCATACGAATCAGCTGCTACAAGGAAAGGAGGAGGAAAGTGTGAGACAACATGTGAATGCCTTCTGAAACCTCCTCTTTAATTCAACTAACGCTGCACCCTGCCAGCCTGGACCTCTGCCATCCTCTTGTCTTGAAGCTGGCTCCGACTGGGAGGGTGTAGCAGGGGTGGGAAACAGGCAGATGAGCTTTAAGTAGAGCATTTGTGAACGGAAATGGCAATAAGAACCAATCCTAACAGCACTGCCTCCTCTGGTGTTATCAGTCCTGCAAAACCCAGACACTACCGTCCCACAGACACTGTTTGTCCGATGGATGTAAATAACACGCATGCTTCCAACACAGTGTTTTATCCTAATGACCCAAAGCAAAACATGAGGCTGCATCTTGGCCCCAGTGGGCCATGGGTAGAGCCCAGCATCCCTCCACATCCTCACCCACCCTAAAGGACCTTCCCATGAGGGTGTTCAGCCCCAGTTCGGTCCCACTGCTGCGGCTGCTGGCAGCCATATCAAGGAAAGGGGCAAACCAAACCAGAGCCAAACTGAACCATCAGCACACAGCTAGAAACTGCGAAGGACACCAGAGGTATTGATAAAGAACACAGGAAGGTTGGACTTTACACTCCAAGACTGCATTTGTAATAAATACACACTTACCAGAGGACAGAATGGGAATGTGTGTGAGAGTTTGTGCGTGTATCTCTATAATATACATGAAAGTAAAAACCCATCAAAGGGAGGGTAATAGCTCTTAAATTATCTCTGTTTCTGTATGTTTTAAGAAGTTTGTTTTCAAATAACCAGTACCAATTTACACGTTAGCAAAAAATGGATTTAAAGGCTGTATATATAGATGTCTATTTTAAAATAGCAAGAAGATCTGCTGGTGTGTGAGATGCTCCCTGCAGACTTGCCTGTCTCAGCTTGCAGCTATGGAGTTAAAAAGACAGGAGAAAAAGAAGAAAAGGAAGGAAAGAGGGGAACAAAGTCAATCTGGAAATGAAATGTACATACCTGGGAACTGATAGCTGTAGCTGGGGGCAAATCCGGGATATCCTCGGCCATACGTTGCAACAAAATTTGGGTAACCTTGATCAAATGCACAAAAAGAGAGAAAGAGAAGTTTGAGGATTAATGAAGGTTTTTTGTTGTTAAACACAAGGCAAGATGACATGGAGGATGGGTGAGGCGATGCTACGGAACGTTATCAAACCCCCAGATTTATTCTGCTCGTGCCAAGCTGCCAAAGGTTTGGGTATTATCTTGAACAGAAACCCCTGGAGCTGGCTGCCCTCCCTGCTCGCTAACTGCTGGGCTCTGTGCACGAGACCTGTCACTCAGGTAATTAACATGCACTTTGGTATCTCAAGTCCAAGGACTGTGCATACTTGTTAGCTGGAAGAGTAAATGCCAAATGCTAAGGCTAAACACATAACACAGGTTTGCTCTGACATTTGGAGAGCTTACAATGAATGTACTTTGCTTCAGAGCTATTGACAGTTGGAGATTAAGGTAGTAGTAATTCTTTATCCCGGGAGTGTGAAGGACAACAGTTAACACATCAAGAGTTGGAGGCAGCCACAGCAATGAGCCAAGGGAGTCAAAGAGCTTTTAATTTTTCAGGAAAGTAAAAACCCAGCCATGAGAAGTGCTTCTGAGATAGGCGAGAAAACACATCCAACCTCGGACAGCTTTTGAGCTTTATTGTGAGAATATTGGTTAATAAAGATGCTCGAGTTACTGCACCAGGGCCAGGTTGGACGGGGCTTGGAGCAACCTGCTCTAGTGGAAGGTGTCCCTGCCTGTGGTGGGGAACTGGATGAGCTTTAAGGTCCCTTCCAACCCAAACCACTGGAGCCCAGGCACACGTTTAGCAGCCGAGCGGCTCTTCTGGGGGGTCTCCTATCTCTGCTTTTATTTCTTCTTTAATCCACTCGTACATCACACAGCTATTCTTCTGCCGCTGCGAGTCCCTCCGCTCCTGATGAGATTTATCCATACATACAACGTCCTATTAATCATAACCTAAAACCGGAAGATAAAAACGCTTGGATGAATTTTGATTACGGGATTAAGCAGTGCCAGGGGAAAGCAGCCCCACCATCCCGGACAGCACGCAGTGGCTTTCAGCGCTGTGTACACACTGCTTAGCCCCTGCTTATTTATTTCACAGCTCAACAGCTGGATTCCCTTAGAAATTAATCACCTCTGTCATTAAATCAGCTCTTTCGGAGTTAAGCTTTACAGATCTTTTCTCCTCTTTCTTTAAAAAACAACAATATTGATAAATGGATTGTCTGCTCAGTACGCAGCGCCATTAACAGCGCTGCGAGCCCCACCAGCAAAACCACCTCCGTCCTCTCCAAGTGGCAACCACGCAGTTTTGGTGTGATCCAGCCAACTTCAGGAGCTGGCGGTGGGGTGCAGGATGCATCCCTGCCGGGATGCTGGTGGCAGCGCTGCCTGGGGGCTCTCGCCTGCATCGCCAGCGCTCCGCGCGCTCGAGGTCGGGCAGATGAAATCATAAATTTATAATACAACATTACTTCAATTTTCCTCTTCATTTGCTGCTGCAGTGCCCAACTCTGCTCTAACGAGTCAAAGCCTGAGCCGCGCAGGGGAAATTGCCTGGCTGAATATCAATAGCGCATTAACACCATGCCCATGTGGATGCTTCATCAAGCCAAATTATGGCCATGCTGACCTACCCACCACTCCCATTAGATGCCATTCTCTCATCCTGCACTGGGCACCGAGCAGTTTAGTTGCTTCAGTAGTGCTGGGGAATGATCAGTCTGTAATCATCCCTTATTGCTACACCAAACCCCCAAGTTTTGCCTGGATTACCTCCTCCGAAGTGAGACCCTCCTGAACTCCAACCAACAGCCAACCCTGCTTTCCCAGCATCACTTCCACCCAGCTCCGACCCCAGCGGCAGCAGGTCCAATGCACCCGCCCTGCAGGCTGGGTGACCTTCAGCCCATCACGCTCTTGGTGGACAAGGATCCTGGGAAGACAGGAGACCCGAGCTGGACTCCTGACTCCCCGTTATCCCACCCTCTCCAAAGCCAATCTATCTCCTGCTCCATGGGAATTAAAGAGCAAGGCTGAGGCTGTGTTTGTGGGTGCTGCTGTGGGAGCTTGGGGGGGTCACTCAGCTGTGCCAGCCCCCAGGAATCCAGTGCTAATGAAGGGCTCCCCATCCCAAATCCTGCCTCAGGGGCAGCTGCTACTCTATTAAACACCGCCTGATGGAAAAAAGGAATGACTTTCTTTGAAGGGCACAAGCTTCTTTTATGCATGAGTTCAGCCTACCTAGACTGTGTGCAGTAACACAGAGCCTGCTCTGCCTTGAGCAGGGATAGGAGCCTGGTGGAGACCTGAAATCTGGTGTTCATACAGACGCTGTTTTGGCTGTCCGGGAGTGCAAGCTTTATGTGCCGAGTGCTCCTGTCCCTGGAGGGGTTTGCAAGTTAAAAAGAGCCCAACTTTAATATTAAACACCAGTGGGTCCAAGACGCCCATCGCCAGAAGAAGTGAGTCCTGTGGGGCCCCAGCTCAGACTGAGCAGTGCTTCAGCTGCCTCCAGAGCTGAACCCCATAACAGCAACTGTGACATCCCACAGGGAGCTGCTTCAGATGGGAGGGGAGACAGAGACAACTCCTATCAACACTGCTCCTCAGTTGCCTTCTTTTCTTTTTCCAAGTTTTCAGTCCTGAATGGAGGGGCAAAAAGCCATGGTGCAATGCAGTGACACCTGCATGCCCTTGGGTGACAGAGGTGAGGCTTCTGGGCACATGGCAAGCTTCTGGACCACCGAACATCCGCCGCTCAGCCGCAGGTGCGTGTCTCGCCTGTGAGGGGGGATACGGGGCCTCTTCACCAGCATCCCTGGCGCTGGGGAGCAGCTCTTCAGGCCGGGTGGGCTGCCAGGGAGACAGAGGTCCTGGAACTGAACCCACGCCAGCCTGTTCTTTATGCAGAGTGGCTAATGGACGTCCCTGGTCTCCCCTGAGCCTGTGCGTGTCCCCTCAGCAGACAGAGCCCGAGACAGCCCAGGAGCAGCCCTGGCAAAAGGCTGAGCCTGCCCACGCTCTCCGAGTCAGAAAATCCTTTAGAAGAACACTTTAATTTTGTTCCAATCAACCAAATCATCACAGAAGCGGCTGCCTACGCACCTTTAGACCCCGGCTGCTGCAGGCTCCTCGGGGAGGCTGTGATTAATGAAAAAGACCAACTTCCTTAATAGCTTCGGAGGGAGCCGCTCCCCGCTCTTTCCTTCGGGCTGTCTTGTGCGTTCATTCCTGCCATCCCCTCCTCTGCCCATGAGCAGCATCTGGGGAAGGTGACCTTGAACAAGGGCTTCTGGAAACAGGTATATAAATCCTCCACGAGCAGCCCCACTCGCTCCGTTTCAGTCCAGCAAAGGAGGAATGGGGCAGGGCTGGCACCAGCCTCCCGGGATCCTTGGCTACTACAGACGCTGCCTCCGGTGGGACATTACTTCGTGCATCTCATTATTTGATGGGTTAATTACCCCCCTTCTCCCTGTGGAATGGGGCCCTACCTCGAGCAGCTTCAGGGCTTGGGAAGGAGCAATCGCTGTCCCTCATCCCCCTTCCCAACACCTGGAGGCAGCCTTTGAAAACGGGGCTTTATAATGGCCATCCAGACAGCTTCGCTTTTGTGTGTTGTGATTTCCTTGTGCAGCACTTAATTATTTAACACGGTGCCACTGTAGCAAAGCAGGAACTTGGAAGATGAAAAAAACAGCTTGAGCAGATAATGAAGCATCTGGCCTTCAACACGAATCAATCATTAATTCTGAGCAAGTCACTCTCATTTGCAATCTAACCAGTGTGCTGTGAGAGCGGCCGGAGCAGGGCTGGTTGGGGTGACCTGACCCACCCCACTGCAGTGGGACGGGGACTTGCCAAGGGGCACCCAAATTGCTGGCTCTGTGCAGATGCAGATCTGCTCGCTGAGGGCTTCTTCCCTTGCTTGTTATGGCTTGAAATGATCTTTTTCCAGTGCGCCATCCCGGTGGGAATCACACTGCACCAAGGACTGAATTTTCCCTTCAGGTCACTGGGGTGGACTCTGGCTCCATTCACTCCTTGCCGGGCTGGAGGGAGAAGGGGGAGGGATCCTGCCCTGGGTCGTTCGACCTGCCCAGGGTGACCTGGGCTCTCTCCTCCACCACCTTCACTACCCCAAACCTCAGGCACCGCGAGTGGGTTAAAGGCAGAGAAACAAGAGCAATGAAGTGCCTATGCTCCAGCACCCTGGTACATGCAGGCCACCAAATCACAGGTTGACGAGGACAAGATAAATATTTTAACCATAAAATGCAATTTCCAAACACTATGGGGCAGGGTGGTGGTGGAGTGTGGGGACAGAAAAACAGATGATCAGTGGAAGTAACTGAATTACACAGCCCTGAAATGGATCGCTCCAGCCACGCGAACAGAAGCGCTATTAATTCAGAGATAAAGCAAATAAGGCAGGGAAGTTTTCCCTATCAAATCAAGCGGGGCCTGAAGTCAGATGTCTCAGTGTAACAGCCTGATGCTCACAGAACAGTCTCCTCTGACCTGATGATCACTGCAGAAGCTTTGGGATCCTCCAGCACCTCAGCCAGCCCATCTCAACCTGCTTGGCAGAGCTCAGGACAACCAAGCACCAGCTTTCAAGGCTGGTTTTTATGTGTGAGTTTCTGGGATCATCTAAACCCAGGACAGAAAACTCAAAGCATCCCAGAGAAGCTACATATGAGGGACACCAGCCTGAGAAAGGCTCATTCCTGCCTGGGAACACCTCCAGATGCCCTCTTGTTCATGCACGCCTTATGGAAACAGAGGGTGCCAACCAAGGGAAAGTCCAGTGATACAAATAGAGCAGGAGGTTGAAAATGCATGGGGTTGTACAAAAGTACATTGGCAATGGATTAGCAGCGTTCTGGCTTAGCAAATCTGAGCAGAGAGCATCAAGAGGTTGTCACATTGTAAAGAAAGAAGAACTATCTAGGCAGAAACAAATGAGAACCAACTGTAAGTAAGCAGACCTTGTGCACAAATATCATTTATCCCATTTAATTGGTATTTCCTGGACACAATACTCTGGACTAAAATACCATTCCATCGCCTTCAAACTTGTAATTACTGTGGTGCCCTGCACTGGTGTGCTCCTCCCTGCTCTCCCCATCCTGCGGGCCATGGAGGAGCCGGCAGGATTTTCAATTACCTATGCTGAGCTGTCAGAGGTACCTTTAAAAGAAGGGGAATAATGTGTGACTCAATTCCTCTAAAGAAGGGGAGAGATCATTTTTAGTCAGAATGAACACCCTGCGTCTTTCATCATTCTATTTTTGCCAGGAAGAGTAAAACAGCCTCTTTAAAACATCCATTTAAATGCAAATTTCTATATTCCAGGAGCGGGGGGGGAGTTAATCATTTACCACAGACAGGATCATTCTCCCCACTCCATCCCTACTGAAGTCCTAGACCCGCACCCACACGGCTGCAGGGATCTGCTCACCCCTATGGCTTAAGGGTTCAGGAAGCAGGGAGAGACACAACACGGGAGCCGCTGGCTGCGGGAGACGTGTGGTGGCCACGGCACTTACCCAACATTCCCATCCCTAGCATAAAAGCGTCCATGGTATACGGTAATCCACGTGCCCTTCCTCTCGTCCCTGGCGGAAACATCACTTCTTTAGGTTGTGCTTTCTTACATTCTACCTATTGAGCAGAAACATGTACAAATGAGATGCAAATGAATTCCATGTAAATGTCAAATGCAGAACTGATCTACTTAAGGGGGTGGGAGGTTTATTTTTAGCATCTGCCTCCCCACACCGCCTCCCCCCCTCTAAGGTGAACTTTAAGAATAGCGCAAACGGATTTAGAAGAGCAAACGTGTCTGTCTCTTTAAACACACAGAGCAAACCCCACTGGAAAGATGACAGAAGTGCCGATTTAAGAAGTTCCTGAAAGGAAAACCTGGGCTGCGTTCCCTTCTCAATGGCACTCGCGGGAGTGGAATGAATGGAGGGAGGTCTCCAGCACAGCTCTATTGCAATCGATAACAGAAAATGACTCTCGGTGATCATTACAAAAAGCTCCTTTTAAAATAGGAATAAAGAATCGATATTTCTACCCAGCAGAAAATTTCTGTAAACCCTATTAATAAATGCTCTGCATTCTTTCACTTCCACTTACTCCTGCTGCCTTCTGAAGTTGCTTAATGCCACTCAAAGCAATTGCGAGTCTCCACCAATGCCTTGGGAGAGACAGCAATGCAGGCCAACCAGCACCAGGACACCCAGGAGCCAGCAACCCCATCAGGTCATGGTTCCCAGCCTCTCCTTGGCTAGGGAAAGGGAGAAATAAAGCACTTTCCCATGTTTTCCAGCTCCGGCACCACCAAGTTGCCCCCTCAAGCAGACTGCCTCTGTGCCAGTAAGCTGCTCTGGAACTAACCAGTTATCCCAACCCATTTCTATGGCTCTACACCTTGCTCTGAGCAAAGGGTAAACCCTGCAGGCGTACAGTGCAGCCCTGCATGGGATGCAGGGAATCTCCAAGCCGCTGCCTGCCCCATCTGTATGGTTGGCACAATGAGAACTGCTGCTCTGAGGTTAAGGGTCTTACCCTGAATGCAGAGGTTTGAGCCTTATGCCTTTAATTTTGCTCTTCAATCAGTTCTTGAACCCTCTTCGCACATTTAGGTACCCCCCATTCCTTGCCTGGCCAGAGTGGGAGCAGAGTGGGATCATCACCAGCCTGCAGACAAGGGCTTGGGAACGGGGCTGCTCTCTATCACTCGCACAAGCAGGCAACCACCCCAGGCAAAGCCGGGATGCAGGATAATAGGTGCCTAATAGCCCGATCAGTGACTGTGTGTTCATTGTCTTATGAAAACCAACCGCCTGTTCCTAGGCAACCTGATCAGTGGAAATTCCAGGTTTATACAATTTTCATTTAGGTAACATAAAGGTTAACTGCCTGTAATGGGAGGATTTTAAACAAAACCACCTACTCCTCCTCCCCGCTGCACATCTCCACAGACCGTATTTACTTCACTTGCTTGCAACACTTCCCGAAGCTACAATGCTCAGACACTGCCAGTGCTGTCAAAACACACTCTTCTTGCACGCAAACTGCCCCAACCCAGTGAAGTTTGAAGCAAAATTCTTCTGGAGTTCCTCTTTCGCCATTTCTCTGCCAAGAAGTGTTTGGATCCTTGCAGGAGGCAGTGGGATAAGAGCAGAGGGGGACAAAGGTTTCCTCTGCCTCCTCTTCAGTGCTGTTGGGGTAGCAAGACCTCTAGGAGAGAAACACCCCAGCAAAGGTTGTGGTGAGGACCAGTGCGTGCTCCTGGCAGGGTCACTAACCTGCACATCACCCCTATCCCCTACACACACACACACACATGTACAGATTCCATGCAGACACGTGGCAATGCACATACACTACTGAGTGTGCAATGGAGACCCCCAGGGTGCCCCACAGGGTTCCTAAGCCCTAATATTAAGAGAAAAGAAAGGAAAGAAAACTTCCATGCAATGATGTACGTGGAGGTGCTGCTGTCAGAGCAGGGATGGGGACAAGGACAGTATGGGATATGTGTGCTTAGCATCCAGCTCCATCACTATCCTATAGGGATGAAGCCTACAGAGCTTTCCAGGGACCCTTAAGCCTGAGCCTTGATGGTTGAGTTTCAGCCTAATCGGGCTGTGTGCCTCCCCCAGAAGCCCCACAGCCCTCTCCATCAACCACCCCGAGAGCTCCAGGCCACACAAGCTCCAAGGCTGAGCACCAGCACCAGCCTCCTCTCACCAACACCACACTGCCTCAAACCGCTTATTTGGGATCCCACTGGGGTCATTTCACGGGAGCAGCCCATCTGATTTCTGCAGCACCACAAGTGTGTCGTTTCAGTTCACAACTGCATCTCTGTGGGCTGGCCGTCACGCGCAGCGCCGCGGCAGCACCGGTTACACCTCGCGCTGCAGACGGCCGGGCTGACAAAAACAACCCAGCCTGCCTCGACTGACAATTAACAGGAAAACGAAGTTTGGATTAGCACCGTCAGAAACAATAACCCAGTAATTAGCTTCTGCAGCCACGGACCAGCCTACCCCTGCTCTCTGAAGGACCAGCCTCATCTATGATTTTCACAGCACACAGGATATAAAGGGAATGGCAGTGAGCCGCAAAGGAGTTTTACCTGGGATTTAAAGGGGAAGGGAAAGTCACCAGTAGGGAAGAAAAATAATTCCTAAGCCTCTGTAAACACATTTACCCCACATCGAGGGCAAACATATTCTCTGTTACCCAGCAGAGACTATTCCCTCCTGGGAGGGATGAAATGCAAGACAGGGGAACAGAAGCCCTGTCCCTCAATGCCATCCCTTGGGAAGGGGCTGCATGACCCCATCCACGGCAGCACATCTGGGGGAGATTTTCACATTTCCTCTTCAGCAATGTCAGGCCTTGGGGTGCTCTTCAGAAGCTGCTCAAGCACCATTCCATCGGCAAACAGGGGAAAAGCAGCAACAGGAGGTGCAGCCCCACGTTAGTCAGCAACGTGGTGGGTTTGGATGGTGCCGCTACACCAACAGAGCAGGAAAAGGGGAAAAATAGGGCCCAGGCTGCTTTTGCGCGAGAAGCCATCCCACTCCTTCATGGGGCATGGGATGGAGATGCCCATAACCATCACACAGCCACGAGGGTAAAACCCTGGAGGCAGCAGGGACATCACAGTGTGCCGGGGTGTGCAACAGGGCTTCTCCAACGAGTGGGGTCCCTCAGGGATCGGTGTTGGGACCGGTCTTGTTCAACATCTTCACTGCTGACATGGAGAGTGGGATTGAGTGCGCCCTCAGCAAGTTTGCCCATGACACCGAGCTGTGTGGTTCGGTTGATACCCTGGAGGGAAGGAATGCCATCCAGAGGGACCTTGACACGCTTGTGAGGTGGGCTGATGCCAACCTCATGGAGTTTAACCATGCCAAGTGCAAGGTCCTACACCTGGGTCGGAGCAATCCCAGGCACAGCTACAGGTTGGGCAGGGAAGAGATTCAGAGCAGCCCAAGGAGAAGGACTTGGGGGTGTTGGCTGATGAGAAAATGAACATGAGCCGGCTTCAGTGTGAGCTCGCAGCCCAGAAAGCAACCGTATCCTGGGCTGCATCAAAAGGAGCGTGACCAGCAGGGCGAAGGAGGTGATCCTGCCCCTCTACTCTGCTCTTGTGAGACCTCACCTGGAGCATTGTGTGCAGTTCTGGGGTCCTCAACATAAAAGGGACATGGAACTGTTGGAACAAGTCCAGAGGAGGCCACAAGGATGATCAGGGGACTGGAGCACCTCCCGTATGAAGATAGGCTGAGAAAGTTGGGGCTGTTCAGCCTGGAGAAGAGGAGGCTGCGTGGAGACCTCATAGCAGCCTTCCAGTATCTGAAGGGGGCCTATAGGGATGCTGGGGAGGGACTCTTCATTAGAGACTGCAGTGACAAGACAAGGGGTAACGGGTTAAAACTTAAACAGGGGAAGTTTAAACTGGATATAAGGAGGAAATTCTTTCCTGTTAGGGTGGTGAGGCACTGGAATGGGCTGCCCAGGGAGGTTGTGAATGCTCCATCCCTGGCAGTGTTCAAGACCAGGCTGGACGAGGCCTTGGGTGAGATGGTTTAGTGTGAGGTGTCCCTGCCCATGGCAGCAGGGTAGAACTGGATGATCTTAAGGTCCTTTCCAACCCTAACTATTCTATGATTCTATGATTCACGAGTCCATGCTCAGCTCTGTACATAATCACCCCCAAGAGCCTGCCCGACGTGGGCTCTCTGTACATAAATCTGTCTCTTGCACAAACTTCCAGTTCAGCATTTCTGTACATCTTAATACCTTCCAGGTTCCCTGCACGAGGGATGTGCCTCGCTTGAGCAGCCCAACAAAGAAAGTTTTAACTCTAAGGCTAAGAAAATAAAATAAGGCAGGGAAACTAAAATTCACTATTTTTGTTTAGTCTACTTTGGAGAATGAACGTTCCACTGGGGTACTCTTGGGTGAAGCTGAGCAGTCAAAGCCACTGGAACCAAGGACGGCTGAGATGGAGAGTGAAAAGCCTCTTATACCCAGCGCAACAAAACAGGCTGTCAGCTCTCAGCACCAGGATGTCTCAAACCCCCATGGCTAAAGCTTTCCAAGGAAACCTGGGCTATTTTGAGGGAAGCAGAAGGCTCACGTATTCACAATGCACAAAACCCCCATTTTACCATCCAAAGACAAGGCAACTTTGTCTTGCCAGCAACGTGCGATTCACAGTTAGCTGAGATTCGATTACCTTGGAGACACCGCGTCCACTCCTGCCATGGCCAGCCCAAACTATCCCTCCCCTAACAGAGAAATCAGTATTCAGGCAGTCCTGCTGCAAAGGCAGGGCTACACCAGAAACAGAAGAAAGGTTAGAAGCGTATTTAAACACATGCATTAGATCATCGCCGAAGGTGGGGTAGGGACAATGGGATGTCATGTCCTCAGACTGTAAGAGAAGTCAGCAGCGATGGGTGAGCAGAGTCTGAGGTTCATCAGTTCACTCTGTCCCCAGAGCACCCAGCTCCTCCTTGTCCTGCAGGACCCAGCCACCCTTGGAGAACCTGGCAAGGACGGCGTCACTCTACAGCTCAGGAGTGGTGTCACTTAAAGCACACCGAAGACAACGCTACAGGAATGCATCCAACCTGCAAGAGGTCTGCAGTGTCCTTCAGCTGACAGGCGGGTTTCCAAAGCACCTCCAGCCTCTCCCCAGCACCACAGACATCAGTGACACCTTGGGTACCCGCCTGCCCAGCACCGGCTCCTGTCACCCTCACTGCAATGAGCCCTGTCCAGAGCACCCACCACTGTGACCATCAGCCTCTTCACATCACTGTTCACACACCTCTCCCACAACACCCTGCCACGTGCCAGGCTCCAGCTCTACAAGCTGGTTGCAGGGATGGAGGTGCCTTAGACTACAACATATGTGGATGAAAACCCAAAGGCACGTGTGTGTGACACATACGTCTACAGCATCAGCACACAGTGAAGGCTCCCAGTCCAGGGAGAGGCCTGGAGAGGCCCGATCCATTAACAAAACCCATTCCAAAAAGCCCCACAAACCCAACCGTGAGAGTGAGAAACAGCCACAGGTGCTGTGCAGCATCCAAACCTCGTTTAAACCAGCCTAACATCTTAGTCAGCTGCTCTAAATCCCAACTTCCATGCAAGTGCCCGGGCTCACCACACTGCTCACCAGCACTTATCCCACTATACCCATGATGTGAACCACTCCATCACAATGGGATCTGAAGGCAAACAAACTACTCCATCCCATTTCTTTTCCAGCTGCTTCTGTGCCCCCTTAGAAAACCAGGTTTCTCTTTGCAAAGCAGTCTCCTCGCATCAAAGCAACTATATTCAGGGGATAGCTTGGTTGAGTTCTGTTTGTTCCCCCTCCCTGCAGTGTTTGGAGAGCATCTTTGGCCTCCCACGTAAATTCCAAGTTTCATTTATTAAATACCTCGCTGGCATTTTCTTTCCACTTTCACACTGCTCGGTTAATATTACATTTGACATTCTAAGCTTTACAGATGGCAACAGAAGCAGAATGCTAAAAATAGCCTGCCAGGGAGACGGGAGGCTAGAAATAGGCTCCTCAACAACAGCAGCCCCAATACTCTCTGCCTGCCCCCATGTTTGGGGAAATGACAGCATTCAGGAGATGAGGAGGAGCAAAGGCCAGGCAAACGGGTGCCCATGGAGCTGTAGATGCTCCATCTGAGCAGCCCGGTGATGGGGATGGGGCACCCCTGTCCCAGCTAACTGAGCAAACCTCATCACCTCGAGCTGGAACCCGTCCCCATCGCAGCTCAATGTTAGAGGAGGACACACTAAAAATGAAGCCAGGGTGGTCAGGCTCCAAGGGCGCTGTGGAAGCTCCAGCAGTGCCTATCCCTGACCCCCAGCCAGGTTACGTGTCACCTGTGGCCACCTGTACCAGCTCCCGGTCACACGCGCCTGCACAAGCTCTCCCGGCCCTGCGTGGGTTTGGTAATTCATCTGCAGACACATCAGCAAGACGATGAGTCAGTCCCAAGACAGGATCATGTCTCATCTCCTCCCTCATGGGCTGCTGCAAAATTAGCGCTGGAGAAGAAGTGACAAGAGGAGAACGCTCAAAGCCTCCTGGCACCTGGATCGTGCACCAAGCAGGCACATTTTAATGACCCACAACAACAAAACACCAACAGCCCACGCTGTTTCTTTGGCTCTTTGTGATGTTCCTCGAGTGCTTTTGCCCTGTCGCATCCTCCACATCCCCTGCACTGCTGTCACCTTCCTGGGGAGCCTTTCATCTGGGAAGAAATCCTCCCACCACTCCTCCCTTAACGGGGCTGTGCCAACATGAGTTTTACCACGCACGAGTGCAGATCCTGCTATGAAGCATCAAACAACGGGTCCTGCCCTGCTGCTGGCACTGGTTTTGCTGGGATACACCAGCATCCTCCATCCAGCTCCTCGCCAGGGCAATACTGGGCAGCACTGATTTGTACCAGGGGAAGAAGGCTGAGCCTTGCTGTGTGAAGTAACTAAACCCACAGAGTGTGACGTGACATGCACCCACCCGTGATGAAGCAGTAGGAGCATCCTGGAAGTGTGGCACTGCAGCTCTTCCCTCCCAAGTGACAATCTTACCTACATTCACATTCTGGGTGTTAATACTCTCTTGCTGGGTCTGTCGGCTGGATGTTGTGGGGGTGGCTGGGGTTTGTTCTTTGTGGTTTATTTTAAGGCAGATTAATCAGCATTTAGTAACTCTATATAGGGAAATGAGCCTCCTCCACAACCCACACGTGTCTCAGGGCAGGTATCGCTGGTGGCAGGCAGGGAAGCAGCGAGATGCCTGGACAGGGCAGAGGCAAAGCCTGCGGCACCCATCCGAGATGGAGCCAGAGGGGAACTGCCCCAGCCCTGCCTGCCATCCCACCTCTCGGCTTGCCAAGGGGACCCTTCCTTTTATTTCTGATGCATATTGCAGTGAGGAACAATATGAGGAATATTATTTCGGTGCCCTGGGAAAAATTAGCAAGTCAAATATTGGATCAGGCCTCCAGCATATGCCAAGGAGATTGCTTTGATCTTATCCACACTAAAAGCTCTATTATTGAATTTAAAGTCTGTGAACACATACCAGACCAATATACAATGCATATCTGAATACACATTTGAGAAGCTGAGGATGTTTTGACAAAGGGAAAAGGAGTATTTTAGCTGAAAGTATCAAAGTTACTGCATCAGTTGAAACACAAATGCCCTTCTTCATCTGGCACAGTGGCTTTACTGACAGGGCAACCCGCAGCCTGGGACCTGACTGTCACTTAGGAGAAACTCCACTCCTGGCCTGGCCTGGAAACTGATTGTGGTTTGATGGCAAAGCCCTGACTTCCCAGGGGATATGGTCCAGCACCAGCGCCCGGGCAGCATCAGGTGCAGCGTGCCGACACCCAGTGAACCTCATGGAGGAGGCTGTCCCAAAGGGCCACCCCCCGGCATGGCACGTATCTGTGACAATGGGCACTGCAGGACAACCCCAACTTACCATTTTATTATTGATTTCGTGGAAATGAATTTCACAGACTTTTTCCACCACGTCTTCATTTTCAAAAGTTACGAAGCCAAATCCTGTTTAATAAAGAAACAAAAAGGGGAGGGGGGAAGAAAAACACGAGTTAAGTCCAATTTCATCCCAGTAAAGCATCACGTAGAGACTTGGGAAAACTTTATATATGGATATAGAAATACACCTCCTGTCTATGGAGCTGCTGCTGAACTTGCTGCAGACTAATGGAGGGAAGAAGCATTGTCTCTAGGAAAATGAATATGGTTCTGTTCCAGCTCTTCCATAGGATTTAATGGAGAATTAAAACCTCCTTATGGATTTTTTTGATCCATCCTGCAGAATTTAATGGATAGTTACACCCCAGTTACATGATGGCTCAGAAACTACAATCAGGCCATATTTTTTTTCACACCTTATAGGTTTTTAAGAGCAATCTCGACAAAACCCAATTATATTTCTATGGAACGGTATTGATTTTATCTCTTGTTTAATTCCACAGGACCTCTCCATTAGAGCTGACTCATTACGAGACCCAAAGAAATAAAAATACGGGAAGACAGGAGATGACTCCTCATTTAGAGGCAAGGAAAATCCCACCCCACTGCTTCCCCACGTATGCAGCAGCACTTTGTGCTTCCACTGAGGGGACACCAAAGGTCCCCACTGCTGTGTGCTGGGGCCAGCAGCGCAGCCACAGCAGCTCCATCCGCACGGATGCAGCCGGCCCCGCGGGGCAGCGCGCTCCGGAGGTGGTTATTTGTCCCTTTCTTCCTGAATTACTTCCTCTAATACCTCATCAGGACATCCTGAGGCCTCCAAGAAACCATTACGTTGAAGGCCTCTGATCTAATAATTCCTCTCTTCTCTGCTGCTGCTTCAAAGGAGCCCTGGATTTGGGCTGGTTTAGGGCCGTTTGATGCCTGCTGCCTGCCTGTAGCTGTACATGGGATTTGCTCTGCTGGGGCCACATGAAAGAAATCTGGCAGCCCACCCCAGCTCTACAGTCATGTTCCTGAGCAGAAAATAACAACCAAGCTCCCAAACAAAAACCAAGCCAATGTGCTACATGTCTGGCAAAGGCTCGATGCAGGACTCAACACTGACACCAACAGAGCTAATGCAATCTTAAAGATGTGACAACAAGATGAACTTCATACTCCAGACTGCACTGGAAACTCCCATGGTGGAGATTCCAACACTGTTTCCAACACTGGTGGAACAGCACCTGATGTCTTCCTCACCCCAGGCTCCCAGCCAAAGGAGCAGAGCTGGGGCATCCCCAGCAGCACCCCTTACCCCTGGAAAAGGGACAGGAATCCAACGTTTCCAAGTGTTATTGTCCATGTATTCCATAGGTAGCTCTGCACTGTGAGCATCCCTCTGCTCAGCCACGCACAGCATTAGAGCAGCTGGTCTTTGCTGTCTCCTATCTGCGTTTCCATCCATCTGCTGCCCATCCCAGTCCCCCGGCTGTTGGGGAACACAGCAGTGAACCCTCACGTCCAGCCCACTTTGCTATGGACAATTCCCATCTGCAATCAGCACCAGGAACCTGCTCCCCCCAGCAGACCCAGTGCTCCCGGTATGCGCCCAGCAACACGTACTTTCTGTGCCAGGGTCCCAAAGCAGTACTTCATCATTCTAAACACACACAATTTGCTGCAGTGGGGCACAGCAGAAATATTAAACCAGAAGGGTTGTTTTTTTATAGCAACCTACAGGTACAAGATGTATTTTGCAGGCTACAATATTGGAAGCTGTGAAGTACATTTCAAGGTGAGCTCTGAACAGCTCCCAGACACGTTGTTTGGGAATGCACAGTACGTGTAGTGACGGGGAATGCTCCCATCCCTCTTTGGACCCTCTTACTGGGGGAAAACCCAGCAGAAATGGTTTCTAGAGCTCCTCCACGGCACAGCACATCATCCGGCAGCACATCAGGCTCAACCCCAGCACTCAGAACACTGGTTTCCTTTGCACTTACAGCATGTAGCAGCTTGAAGTATTTTACTTAACCCCAGTGCTCGTTTGCCTTCTAAATTACTCCATTTAAAGCTACCTGAAACAGACCCATAGTTAAACTAGAATGTCTGTGGTTAACTGCCTGCGCACGGCATCCCAGGAATCCCGGAGCACGCGGTGCTGGAGCCGGGACCGGCACCTCGCCAGGGACCAGCAAAGGGACCGGTCCAGGGCTACAAGTCATTACTTGTTCGAGCACCAGCAACATCTTCATCATTAGCAGCTCATTAGCGAGTTCTGCAGTTGAGGGCTTTCTCTTTCAACTGTAGGCAGGTCTCAGTGCCAGGATGGAGGGGAGAGAGGGAATTTAGAGGAGATCAGCCTTAATATGCCTACCACCACCAGAAAGCCTACTGCTGTCATTACACATTTGGATCCAGGAAAGAAGTTTCCCGTTCTCATCCCACTCCATATGGCTTAAACACAGGTTTATCAAGGAATCCGTTGTCTGATTACATCGGATACCCACCCAGCTTTCTGCAGTACAGATTTCATCACAAGAATCAACCTCTAGGTGTCAACACTCATTTGCAGGTCTTCAGAAGATCAACGCCACTTCCACACAGGCCAGTCTAGCTGGCTTGGCAAGGAAAATCATGGGATGGGGTCTGTAAGGAAACCCAACTCCATCTTTTATTCCTTCCAGCAGCACACGGGGCACTCCATCCATAGCCAAAGGCTTATGGTATTTTACCTTTACTATTACCAACATCTTAACTGATTGGGAAGCAACCAGAGGATTTTAATCTACACACATACAGGCACTTAAAACCCACTGGATGCTATTCAAGAGATGCCACCGCTCCCTCAACGAACAGTCTCCAAGAGATCATATGCCCCAGACTGAAAAACTTCGTAAGAGTCATGGGCAATGGGTCACTTTTTGCCTCAGACTGTAATAGGTGTAATACTTGACTTGTAATAGTCGCACACACACATACACACACACAATTACCGCGTGCATGCCTTATTAGTTAGCATAATGAATACATGCTCGATTGAAATTACCCAAACTCTCAGAAACCTGCCTGGACTGAACAGACAATTATTTCTGCTGAGAGGTACTAAGAGTCAACAAAAAAAATGGCTCTGGGAAAGTGTATGGAGAAGATTAACACAAAACAAAGGCGGCTCTTTAAAATGGTGACAGAAATAGGATTCCGGTTGTCAAGGAGCACCCATTTAAAAATGAAATTATACCGCATCCTTCTGAATGAAGCTATTATTGGACGCTAACAAGCTCTATTTAAGAGATAAGCATTTAACAGAGTCAAACGGTTGGGGTTTTTATTCAAATGAATAAAACTGAATATTCATTTGAATAATCTTTTCTGTAAAAGAAAAGACAAAGAAGAGGGAAAAAATAAAGTAAGAGGCAAACGGATGCCCCCCAAACGAGAGGCTGCAAGCCAAACCTGATGACTGAAGGAAGCTGAGACCTGCATTTGTGACCTTCAGCTTAAAAACCCTTCCTTTAGCATTGGCTCAGAAAATGGAGTCATTTCACCCTCTTCATCTGGTGGTTAATGGGCACCATCAAGCACCCAGACAATGCGCAAGGATCATCCTGAGCCCAGATGGGACGACCCAGACAATGCGCAAGGATCATCCTGAGCCCAGATGGGATGATCTCCAAAGGGAGAGGGTTTGCTCTACCTGGGCACTTCTGCTGTCCCCATCCAGTCCAACCTCGCTGCCTCCCACGGCAGCAGGTTTTGGTAAGAGGAGGGCTCATTCCAGCATCCCAGGTCTGCTCTAGCCTGGTCCAGCTGTGGAACTGCTCCTGCCCACAGCAGCACACAATGAACAGGAGTCCACTGCTTCAGATGGACTTCTTTTACTCACTCATCTGCTAATGAGAACCTGAAATACTTGGGGGTCAGTTACCAGAGGATGCAGCTGCCTTCAGCTGAAGTACCCCAAGCTGAAGGTCCTTGGTACCCTGCAGACCAGGTCCCTTTTGGGCTGGGTGCCTGCAAAACGGAGCTTTGTCAATGGTGACTCACGAAAGGGGATTTCTTCACTAGGAAACAGCATTATTCAGAGGGGAGGGAAAATCTGGTTATTTCTTAGCACAAGGCACGATAGTCCCAAGCAACCAAATAACCCTGAGTCCCCCCGAAAACGTTTACAATGAGCCCAGAGACACAACCCAGGTACTTGACATCCGACGGCGCAGAAGACATCCTCTGACCCACCTTGGTTACACCAAGAAGCCCCTCTGATCCAGAGCCTTGCTCAGCCAAGAAAGCCGAACAGCACTGGGCGGATGGCTCTGGGCAGTGAAGCAGAGCTCAGCTGCAGCACTTTCTGCCATGGTATTCCAGAACTAAGAGAAACATTGTTCAAACGAGTGAAACCATCAAAAGATTAAAATGATTTTAAAAACATTGGGTAGAAGCCATAAATAATATTAAGAACCATGCTGGAGATACCAAATATCAGTGCTCCCGAGTTCTGCATTTTGGGTTTTTTCACACTCGAACCAACTATATTTCACACCTTTGTCATCACTTGAGAGGTTTTATGTCAACCCCAGTAAAATACAGCTGAGATGACGACACCATTGCTATGAAATATATCTGCTTTCTCTTGCTTGCTGGCAGCAACTTCCCCACAGCCCGAGGTTTAGCTGTGTGCTCAGTGTTATATATTGCAGCTGCGTCTGCACACACAGAGGACGTCACTCATCAGGAGGATCGCACGAAAGCAGCTTACCAGGTTAAAGGTCTCGCTCTTTCAAACCTATGCTGGCATTAAAACAAGGAAAACAAGGTGATTGTATCCTGCACCAGAGAGGTTAAACCCAGGTTAATGCTAGGGTGAGCCACTGACAGGCTCTGATGAGCAAACCGGGACCCCTGAGCCAAAACCACTGCCATCAGAGGCACGCACACCACTGCCCGCTGCAGGCACTGCTGCTCTGAGCAGAGGCTCTCCATCCACCAGGAAAGATGCTCTGGAGGGGGAAGGCGCTGGGACAAGGGCTGGAGGAGTCTGATTCAGCTCTCAGGCTGTCCTGGGGTCACCCGATGATGTG